TCTAAAGCGGTTCTATCGATCAATCTTCTCGAAGAATTTCGCGATGCGCGAAGGTGAATGCAGTTGTAAGGGAGCCAGGGAAAATTTTAGTCACGCAATCCTCTTCATGCTATGCATTCGAATATTACACTTCTAAGGAGATAAAAGATCGGACGAGTCATTATATGTAATTAATTGTAATTGATAACTTTCAACAGCGACGAATCTTATCTGCGCGACGAAATGCGCGCGGAATAATATTCTAGAGAACATCAGGAATTATTTGACGCCGGTACACGTCTAACAATAATTAAGCTTTCAATCGACCATAACTGGCAACGTGTTTTTCACCACAGAAAATTTATTGCGAAAAATATGGGCCGAGGTAATATTTTTCGCAATACATTTTCCGTTTTAAAAACACGTTGCCAGTTACGGTCGATTGAAAGCTTAATTATCAATATTCTAGAGACACTAAAGAAAACGATATTATTTAGGCGGTTATCGCGTCAAGTGGAAAATTTATATGTACACTGAAAAAAAAATTTGCAAAACGAACTAAATTCGTCTAGTTGCCGAAAAATTTGGTAAATTTAACAATTGTTTAGTTCTAGTGAAAATGCAATACTTAATTCAACCAAGTGATTTATTTATATTGTATGAAAATTGCTCAACTAAATAGTTTGAAATACTACTACCATTTATGTATATTTTTTAAATATTTAGTTATCACATCTGTATATTTATTTGATTCAAAGTATCAAAATGACTAAATAATTTCGTGTTGGCTAAAATATATTGCGTATCTTCAACTAAACGATTTAGGAAGATACAAAAAAATTTAAACAGCTGAGTTTATCAAATTGATTCTTTTAAAGTAACAAAAAGTTTTGCATATGTTCAAAATTATTTTGATGAACGGACTATAAATGTGATCGAAAATAAAATAAATTAATTGTTTGTATACGTTTTTAGCAATTTTTTAGTTACAAATAAATCTGCTTTGTTAATTCAATCACGATCTATTCGAGGCAACAGATTCTACCTACAATTCAAACAAACGTGTTCGTGTACCAAAAAAATATTTTGTTGTAGTAACTGTACATTCTTGTATTGAACTGTCTATTTTGATAGTTTGAATAATGCTTTGTTTGCACCAAGAACAAATTATTTCGTAAAATTTCAAAATATTTATTTGAACGTATGTGACTAAATAATTTAGTAAGGTCAAACAAATTTTGCTTTTTTCAACCAAATTTTTTTTTCAGCGTATATAAAATTCAGAGTGCTATAACCGCTTTGGAAATGGACGTAAAAATCGCCTGGAGCCAGACGGGAAAGACCCGGTTTACATTATCGCGAATAAAAATCGTGTTACCCGGTATAATTCTTATCAATACTCATCAGAATAAGAAAAGATTCGTTTCCTGTAGAGGCTACGGTCTTCATTCGCTGGAAATCAGATAGCGCACGTACATCGTGCACATTTGAATACACGGGTATCCGCACATCGAGAAGCTTCGCACTAGCCTGTTATTTAGCAGAGTCTTAAAAGTCAAGAGCGTGGCCGATACACTCTGTTGGCAAGAGGAGCACCGTTCGGTGTGCTCACTCAGTGTTCCCTAAGTGTCAAACTATCTTAAAGGAGAATTCTTACACGAACACGGGTCAGTGCGAGCGTTTCTTCCGTGTTATCTCTGCCAGGCCAATTGTTATAGTGTCTTCAAACTACCCAATAATTTTAACTGTCGGTTTCTTAAGCAAATTGAAATTAATTTTCCTCCGTCGGGAAATAAGATCGTTAACTTTCACGTTAGAGATTATATATTTTTACGGAACCTTACATTAAAATTCTATTAAGCCTGAGCTAATCTAGAATTGATCAGGCGCAATTTAAATTTACTTTTCTTTCCCCATAAAATGTCTTTTTATTGATAATCCGAGTCGACTCGTTTTAAATTGTAACACTTTCTCTCTTGAGAATGCGATATTATATCATCGCTCCGTCGGCCAAGTAATATCCTAGAAGAACCAAGCTATTAAACATATCTTGCGTAATGTGAATACCGAGGACTTAGTTGAGAGATCATTCTTTTAATTATCGCCGTACGACACAATTTAAGAGCCGTGAGAAAACGTCGTTTCTTCCGGTAAGCTTTCACTCCGGTTTAATCTCCGTGATCGTTCGCGGCGAGATACTCTTGACATTGCATCAAGACGACGTTTTACCGAGGAGAAAGCAACCACTCAGCGTGAATACCGGTTTATCAAACTAAATGCAGCAAGTAAATAGACTGCGTACACGTATATAAATAAAATGTAGGGTAAAGGCAGGCATTATGGCCAGGCAGGTAATATGGCC